TTTGTCAAACACTGCATTATTCTTATCATCCTCCACTTCCTGGAAGGGTTGAAATAACTAACGGAATCATAAAAATCCAATTAGCAAGACTTTGTGATGCCTTAAACATGCCTTGGACCAAGATACTTGCACTTATCCTTTTAAATCTAAGGAACACATAATTTCCATTTCATAAACAATGCCCCTATTACATAGATACAGAAAGGCCAACGGGATTTCTTATATTTTTCATAATAATGCCAATATGATTCCATCAGAATTCTTCAAAAACAAACATTTAATTCAACACTCTAAGGAATGTTTTTCACAGGTTAGAGAGACACTCTGGTGTCATTGTGAATTATGAGTTGTGCTGCCAATTATAAACCCACCAGAAGCTCCTAAGGGGAAAGATGAAGATTTCTTCTCCCATAAAAGTTTACTGCTCTGGAAACACAAGAAGCTATTCTACTCAGCACATAAGAAAAGGGGAACCTTGTAGTCTAATTAGGAAGGCAATAATGTTGGAGTTAAAATGATTACCCATTCTTCACAATTCATTGAATAAAAATGATTTGAGCAAATTAATTAGACCATGGCTCTCTATTAAACAAAAGGTACGTTTTCTATTCTGCATGTACATTTATTAATATGTGTTCACTCAAAGTATCACTACATAGATACAGCAAAATCAAATGATGAACCTCGGGCTTGGGCTTGGCCCTTTCTGAATAAGGGGAGGATAACTAATTGATGTGCTATAGGACATTTAGCTGTTTCCTGGGAAATCCATCCCGATGATGAGAGTATGCACTGGATTAAAGAGTTGAGCATTCTAACTCAACAAAAAGAGATGCAAATCTTTTACATGAGTCAAATAAAGTATCAGAACCCTGTGGCTCAAAAAAATCAGATCATGATAAGTATTTCTCCAAGCTTTTCTACCCTAGTATAATCTCAGCTTCAAAAGTCTATTTGCAATTTTTCTACCACTATGACTCAATTTGCTGATAACAGTGAGTTTGGCAGAGCAGCTCAACAGAAAACTTTAGACACCCTTGCTAGGGTTATATTAAATATTAGAATAATTCTTGATTTCCGTTTAGGTCAACCTGGGGGAGTTTATGCCATTGCTAATACCTCTTGCTGCATCTGGGTAAATACCTCGGCATAAGCAAAGTTAGCTATTGAGATGAATTACAAAAAGTACTCCTTATTATAGTTAAAAGCCATATAAAATGTTCTTCTAACACTGTAACTATAACAA